TTTGATCAGAGAGGGAAATTTTCAGGTGTATGAGTTTCTAAATTTTTAAGTTCTCAAATATTCAACATCCAGAAGTTCTCTTTAAACTCCTTCTTTAAATCTTTAAACTCCTGAGTTTTTTCGAACTTCTCAAATTTCTGAACTTTTAAATTCCCAAATTTCTCAAACCCTTAATTTCTTAAATCATTAATTTTATAAATAGCTAAATTCCTATATCCTTAGGATTCTTGAGTAGCAAATTCTTGAATCTCCAAATCCCCAAACCCAATCTAACTCCTCAAATCCCTCAACTCCAGTTTCTAAATCCAAATTAACAAGCTGCACTCGAAAATACCCGAAAGAAACGAATGAAGAGGTATAAAAATTTAATTAAACTTAATTTCGTATCATTCAATCTGCAGAAGGGAGAGTAACAAAGCATATTTACCCCGCGTTAATAGAGATTTAACAAAGGCCTTAGAAAGTCTATCAAGCTTGAAACGAACGTATAGAATTTGCTAGTGGGCTTTGTTCTGTTCGCCAGATTTATTCGTTATGTAGCACGAACGTCATCTCGGACGTCAATCGTACAATCTGTCAGGTTTTCATAAATCCGCATATGTTTATGTAACAGCGAGTCTAATTCCTGCTCGAGCATTTTCCATCGGGTCGAGTAAAATTCCAGCGTCGTTGGAACGGTATTTCGTCATTTGTTCGTCGGCGTTCCATCGAACACCGAAGGCATATCGTGGGCTTCGTTATCTCGAATCTCTTTCCACGACAACTAATTGCAGGCTCGAGCCATCGGAATTCTACGAGTTATGACACGTATCCCAACGCGTATGGTCATTGCTATGCACGACCCTCTCTTTCTCTTGCGCTATTCTTACGATTTGCTTGAGGACGAATCTACCAATAGAATAACAACTAACGAGCGTCACGTGACCGGGATAAGAGTGTGGTTAATTATCGTGAGAGGTGACGCCAGGCATGATGAAACTGCGGCCCTACGACCATGAAAAGCCAGCTTTTCCCGACGCCTACAATATCTGATTTTCATTAATAACCACTGTATTCTATTAAATTGACGAATACTACCAATTAAATGTGACCTCTAAACTTTTCCCAGTAGAATTGTTTTATATAAAAATTCAAGGAGTAAGAGTTTTTAATTGAAACCAATCAACCTTTGACCAATCCTTTTGCGCTGGAACGTGGTTTTAAAAAAATTTCATGAATTCGTTGTTATACATTGTTACCAATTTGTTTTATATTCAACAAATAACAATTTCCAATTAACCTAGTAGTCAACTAGTAGTTATTTCGTTGCAGTGTTTGTGTAAATAAAATCTTCCATAATTGAATTTCGACATCTTTAAAGCACCGATTTATCCAGGCAATAAATCTCATAATTTATTCTCAAACTAATACCTATTAAAAGTAAGATGTATCCAGAATCGTTACGGTCCATTATGAGTAAATTTGCCCAGCTCAATAAACTTTCATAATGAAAACCGTCATCCATCACCGCGCACGAATCGCGAGCACGACACACAAAATGGAGAACAATCGAAGAAATTGAATCATAAAAACTTCTTTCGGACACTTTCTCGATTGTTTAACGAAACGTGTCGTCGACACGCGTTCTTCGCTGAGACAAAACTCGTAAAGATCAATCTGTAGGAATTGCTGATGATTTATTATTCGGCCGAGCAGGAAGTGTTCCAAAAGTGCACAATGGGCAGCGGGGACAACGTGGTCGGCTCGCAAATCACAGTTAAAAGCGTTCCGTAGAGAGCTTGAATCAATTATACGCCCTTTCCGAGCCCGTCGATTAAGATCACGAGGATCAATTCGTGCGATCACAAGAGAGAAATTACTCGGATCCATTCACGCGACCCTCGTAACAATCGTACAAAGGGAGAGGAACGTAGCTCCGATTCAATTCATCGCGACTGATCGTGATTGCTGCTTTTTTATTTGCCTCGACAGAGGATATCGATCTGCGTAATCTTGATCCTCGTGACGCTGCAAAGCGATAGATCGATCCATTCTACGATTCGATCTGAGTAAATTGTTTTCACCGGTGATATTCAGACAGCGAAAATGATAACCATGCGGAAGGAGTTTATCTGGATATATCTCTGCTTAATTGGATGATCAATTATTGAAAAATTGGAAGTCTTTTCTGGACTGATAGGGATTTGCTTTGATGCGGAGATTGTGAGAGGGTTTGTAAGAGTCGTTTGATGCAGGTATGTGGAGATCTGAGATTTATAGGAAATTTAGAATATTTAGAAAATTTGGGAATTTAGGTAAATTTGGGAATTTAGGTAAATTTGAGAAATTTGGAATATTTGGAAAATTTGGGAATTTAGGTAAATTTGAGAAATATGGGAATTTAGGGAAATTTGGGAATATTGGAACTTTGGGAATTTTTGGTAATTTGGGAATTTTTGGTAATTTGAGGAATTTGGGAATTTCAGGAATTGGAAATTTGGGGAATTGAATTTTTCGGAAATTAGAAATTTGGGAAGTTAGCAGTCAGGGTGAATGAAATTTAGGGATTGGAAATTTGGTAAATTGGGAATTTGAGGAATTAGGAATTTGGGGAAGTGGAAATTTGAGGAATTGGGAATTTGGTAAATTGGGGATTTGGGGAATTGGGAATTTGGGAATTTGAGGAATTGGGAAATTGGGAATTTGGGGAATTGGGAATTTGGGGAATTGAGAATTTAGGGAATTGGGAATTTGGTAAATTGGGGCTTTGGGGAATTGGGAATTTGGTAAATTGGGGATTTGGGGAATTGGGAATTTGGGAATTTGAGGAATTGGGAAATTAGGAATTTGGGAATTTGGGGAGTTGGGAATTTGGGATATTGGGAAATTGGGAATTTGGGGAATTGGAAATTTGGGGAATTGGAAATTTGGAGAATTGGTGATTTGAGGAATTGGAAATTTGGGAAAACAGAAAGTTTACAATTAGGCTGAGTGAAATTTGTGAATTGAAAATTTGAGAAATTGACGTAACTTAAAATTATGCAAATTTAATCCATAATAATGAGTCCTAAAGATTTAATATTACCAAGCCTATAATTAAAAAATAAAAAATAGAAATATGAAAAATTTTGTTCCCAGACCCTCCTTCCATAATAATCAAATATTTGACATTCCACGTTAAAGAATCTTGAGGCTGACTTGCAAGGAAGTGAGTCCTTTCGGAAGTGGAGTACAGGTACGAGGCTCGTTTCCCAAAACTTGACGAAGGCGACCGCGTTCAAACAGATAATCTCTACGAACCGCGGAAGTTCTGGCAGGAACGTGATCCTTGAAAGGAACGCTTATGAAAACCGTGGGATTCTAGGAAGTGTTTAGGCAAAGGTCCCTTGTCGCGGTAAACCTCGTCACCCTGTGATTTCGGATCTACAGCGGTATTTCCGTCTTTCGAGATTCTCCTTTGGATCTCCGACGCCGAGGCTTGAAAAGGGTCGTACTTGAAAACGAGCAACGAGTTTCGAAAAGTACCAAGAACCCTGTCGTCGTAAAAGGATGGTACAAAAGAAAATAATAGGGATTGCTAAATAATTGATACTTTGTTAAGTGCACCAGAATTCCATTCCTTAGTAATCCTTTTGATTCCTTAAACTTCAAGGCTTTAAGTAATCCTTTCACAAAATCTGTTTGTGTATTAAAATCTAGGTGATTTAATTGCATCAAGTGGTTCGAATGTGGGTCAATGTGTTTGTAATATGACAGGCGCACATTAGTGGATAATTAATAATCTTTGTTATGTGAACATCACGAAGTAGTCTATAACTTTCCTTTTAACGGTTTGTCGATTTTTCAGTACCTTTTACGAAGGGTATATCAGTGTCTAATTATAGTGTCTAATAATTGTGTGAAGTATTTTATAACTTTCCTTTTAACGGTATCTCAATTTTTGGATACTCATCATTTTTCTGACGTGTTCGGTTTCTAAACAGCTTAACCGGGTTGAAACATAATACTTTTTCTCACCGATCTACGTCCGAAATGAATTGGTCTTCCAAGGCTATCTCCTTGAGTGTAGATGACGTCAAAAATGACCATTAAGAATTTTTATTCTTAATCCCATCGCGTGTTTTAGCTATATTTAATACCGGGAACGCGTAGGTTCGTGTTTTCTGTCCTTCGAGCGAACTGGAGAATGTAGCAAACAGGAAACGAAGGAACAAGCGATAACGGAATAATTTAGCCGTGATGTGGTGTATCTAATTCTTTGGCTATTCAGTTTGGACGTAGAAATTATCGGTTAGAAAATAATTAATTTTCCTGAGATTATGGAGATGGGAGATAAGGAAATTAATCCTTCGTTGCATTCTACATATATGCTACATGTCAAAGATATTACAAAGTATGTGTCTTCTATGTATTAAATACTATGTATTTAATGTTACATTAATTTATTGATAAAACGTATGAAAATTTCTGTTTTTTTTTAATCAAATTTTATAATTAATAAAAGTGTTCAATTTCTGAACTTTTGTTGTGCTTTATCAAATTTTTTAGACTTCAAATATTTCATTTATTAAATATGTTTATTATTATATAGCGTATGTAGCACATGTAACATATGTAGCATAGGTAGCATATGTAACATATGTAATGTATGTATCATATGTAAGATATGTAGAATATGTAACATGTATAACATATGTGACATATGTAGCAAATAAACAAATATTTTCTAGTAATATTTTTATTACATATGTTACATATATTATGTCACTTGACAGTTAAAAATGTGTTCTCCTCTCAAAATTGATAAAATCATGCAACGAAGGGTTAATACTCACATATGTTCGTTACCATGCTTCATATGTGAATGATGTTAAATTTTGACAAAAGACCCTCTTAAATAATTAAAATTGATATATAATTGAATTGTGGAAGTAATATACAAAATGTGTTAAAAATAAGTATGATTCGGCAATATTTAGCATGGGGGCAATTTTATTAAATGAAACATGAAATCTACTTACGCTTTTGCTGTGACTTGTGCTGTGGGTGTGATGAGTGTCAATTTTCATATTAGCACACCGATTGAGGGCGTGCAATCTTCTGAATAGACTTTGCAGAGAATCAGCTTCGAGGAAGGGATGATCTTTGGCTACGCCGGAAACATCTATTGGAAATTGGTAATCTGGAACAAGATAAAAATCATGTATCATTAGCATACATTACTATACAAAAACTCTACTATTAATTTAACCTAACATTTCAATTAAAACTTCATCTATTCATAAATACAGTTACTAGTGCTCGTAATTATTAGGTGGAAAATAATTATGAATTGTACCATAAAGAATTATAAACAGAAGTCATATAGAATCTGTACATTTTTATATGACCATATGTACCATATGTGAAAATTAAAATTTAACATTAGACAAGGACAATCTTATTTCAATAAAGACAATTTTAAACACCTAATGAAAAATGACTTCATCAAATAAGTGCTTCATAGTTTGTCCAACCAAACTATAATTAGTTTAACCAATCCAAATACCTAACTATAAAAAAGTTATATTAAATAAAATTAGAACATGTCCTAAAATATAAATCCAAAAGAACCGATATTTAAAAGTCGTTTCCAATTTTACAAAATGTGAAGAATATAAATGAAGTACACGTGCACTGTCGGGTGTCCACAAAAGCACGGGATCAGCTCGAAGGATCTCGAGGCGAAAAAGCGGCATAAAAGGAACTCTTTGTACGACTTTTTGTTGGAAGTGGCTCGCGGAACCGAGGTATCGATACATTTCTCTGGGCCCGTTATTTTATCCCTTATCAGCTTTCACCCGAAATTTCGTGCAGCTTTGCGGCACCGGTTGACAGTTGTTCCTTTTTACCCAAGCAGTCCATTCATCTCTGTCTCCATTTGTTCCATCGCGGGACATCGTGAATACGCGATCGTGGATATACCATTCTGGAACTTCGAATGGCCTCCATCGCGACTTGCGCAAGCCAACATCGACCCAGATTTTCTGAACCAGATCTCTATGATCTCAACCCGACACCATGGATCGATTCACGATCGTCCATCGACTACGTCAAGTAATCGATACGATCGTTGCGAAAGAGAAGAGAGAAAATTTTCGGATCGTCTTTGAACTTCAGTTAGATTACGAAATCTAGTACTCTAACTTGGAAAATGTTCCACGAAATTTCATACGAGATGAATTAGGTTCTAGGACACATTAATTTGTCGCTCTACGTGACGTGCTTCGGGGAAAAATGACCCCTCTTATCAGATCGTACGTTTGATAAATTAGTTAGAAATTCCACTACTGTTCTCTGCTGTACTTTTCATTTGGAATTTGGAGGCGGTGCATTATACGGGGAATATTTACATATTCAATTTAGTTTGTGACCCTTTATCCTTTAGAAAGTCTATCATATAGAAAGTCTGTCATTGGCGTAACTAGGTAGGGACTAGGGTGGGACTAGTGCACGTAGTCAGAATTTTAGTCTCAATGGACGTGGAAATACATACATGTGCTGACTTAAAGTAATAAAGTGAGATAAGGTATGAAGGTGAGAAAGTATTGTGATAAGGTAATATTTTGCAGGACAGAAATATAACATTTGAATACATTCATATTTTTGGTAATGATTAGAAGGTTTATGAAGACTATAATGCTTTTATGTAACAGAGAATACAATGCATGGAAAAATGTGTTAGAAAACTATCAGTAAGAATATAGTATATAGAAATACATCAAAAAGTACAATAAGTGGAAAATAAAGTGTAGGAGTACCATATGTGGAAGTACAATGTGTGGAAATATATGTGAGTATGCAATGTGTAGAAATACAACGTATAAAAATAATAATGTGTAAAAGTACAACATGTGGGAATACAACACGTAGAAATATCAATGCGTGGAAATACAACGCGCAGAGATATCAATGCATGAGATTAGAACGCATAGAAATATCGATGCGTAGAAGTATCAATACGTAGAATATAATGTGTGAGAATATGACGCGTGAGAATAGAACGCGTGTGAGAATACAGCGCGTGAGAATACGATGCGTGAGAATACGACGCGTGAAATTACGGCACGTGGAAATATTAACGCGTGAGAATACAACGCGTGGAAATATCAATGCGTGAGAATACGACGCGTGGAATTACGGCGCATGGAAATATCAACGCATGAAATTACGACGCGTGGAAATATTAATGCGTGAGATTACGACGCGTGGAAATATCAATGCGTGAGAATACAACGCGTAAAAATGCAACGCGTGGAAATACGTAGCGTGGAAATATTAATGTGTGAAATTACGTTGCGTGGAAATATCAATGCGTGAAATTACGACGCGTGGAAGTACGGCGCGTGGAAATATCAATGCGTGAAATTACGACGCGTGGAAATACGGCGCGTGGAGATATTAATGCGTGAGAATATAGCACGTGGAAATATAAACGCCTAAGAGTTCAATGCAAAAAAACATCAAACTATGAAATTACAACGCGTGACTATACACCGCGTGACACAACACACGATAACATACCACGCAATCCAACTCAATTCAAAATAACACTCTACGAAATAAACCTAACTCCCTCCAATAAACCTCCCAATTATCCCCACGATTATCATCAACTTCAGTACCTAAAATAACACAGTATAAAAAATTCTGTCCACTCGTGTCGTTAATTTGCAGGAGTAGCGTGCAGAATATAAATTCGTAGGCGTCGCTAAATTAACATCCTGTTGCTCGTCAATTAAACTGAAGAGGATGATCAAAATACAAGCTGTCTCGGTTAGGTTTGAATTTTAATGAAGTCCGGTATAGCTGGGTCCTACGTCTGTCACATTAGTCACTATACTTTATTCGAATTATGACGTCGTATCGTGCGTTAACGGTACTTTCTCTGTAAAAGTCTGATCGCTGTTAATGGTAACGGACTTTTCGAGTTAGGTATCGTGATTCCTTTCGTAATCTTGCTTCCCGCGATAATCACGGAACTAAGCCACGCGATTTGTACTTTATTTGCGTAACACTGGCCACGTGACGTAAATGGATTTATAGCTGGGACCACTTTCGATGAACTCATCAATATGGAAACGCCATGAGCTTTACTTTCTCTAGGATGAGTGTCAAATATTCTACCCTTGGACACGCCTCAAATTTTATGAAAGACATTTTCTATGCTCACTATTCAACTTTTTGTTGGTTCATTTCATTGTATGGACGTGGTTAAATATTTTTGCATTGACATTACTAATGTTGTATTAATAAATAATGTGATATGAAAAAGTTTTATCTACAAGAGGGTACAACTGCAACATGTGAATATATAAAATTTATGTTAGTTTTCCTTATTTCAGCTACAAATGTAACATATTCCAATTGTATCTTGTTTAATCATTTTTTAATCTTAATACAAAAAATCCACAGCTTTGCAATACAAAGGCATCTGACATTTATCCTTCCAGATTTCTGAACTAATCTATTTACTCTGTTCATCCCGTTACCAAAATGTCAAACAAGTATCCAATAAAAAAGAAACTTCCTTGTAAACTTGCTCTCATCTCAATTTCACCTCAGCCAACACGTCAACAAACTTAGATTTCGCAAGAAAATCGAGATAGCAAGTTCTGTTCGGCCGATCGATCAGATCTCGTCATTAGGAAGCGAATTACGTTCTAAACGGATGAAATTTCGCTACGTTGCCCAGGGCATGATTTATACGGATCGTTAATCAAATAATCGGGACACCGAGTATCGTGATCGCGTCGTTTGTACATCGAGACAGCCCGAAGGATGCTCGATTTTCGAGCGTGTAGATGCATCGAGACTCTTACAAACGAAGGATACTGAATGGACCCCGTACGGTGTCCACGAGGCCCGCGGGCATTAATCTCCTCGTAAACTCGATGGGCCCATAAAACGCTCGCCGTGGCCATTGTCGGGGGCCCGCTGTTGTTTCTCTATTTTTACAGAACACGGTAGCGCTCGTTTATATTCAATTAGAAACGAAGAACAATCGGAACTGGTCGCTCTTAATTGATTTTAACGGTGATTTTTTTAAATGGGAGGAGGGAGTTGGGGCTTTGGGACTTTGGTGGTTTAAAGTTTTGAGAGTTTGGGACTTTTGGGAGCTTAGAAATTCGGGACTTTGGGACTTTGCCATTTTAGAATTTTGGGGGCTTGAAATGTTGGTGATTTAGAATTTTGGGAGGTTGGAACTCTGGTGGATTAGAATTTTGGGGGTTTAGAAGTTTGGGACTTTGGGACCTTGGTGATTTAGAGTTTTGGGACTTTGGGATTTTGGTATTTTAGAATTTTGGGAGCTTGAAACTTTGGTGATTTAAAATTTTGGGACTTTGAAACTCTGGCGGATTAGAATTTGGGGGTTTAGAAGTTTGGGACTTTGGGACTCTAGTGATTTAGAATTTTAGGAGTTTGAAACTTTAGTGATTTAGAATTTTGGGACTTTGGGACTTTAGAACTTTGGTGATTTAAAATTTTAGGACTTTAGAAATTTAGGGTTACAGAAATTTATAATTCTTGGGACTTTCGAATCGTGGGACTTTGGAAGTTTTAAAATGTAGAGATTCAAAGTTTCAGATATTTGGAAATTTGAGAATTTAGGGATTTGCAGATTGGAACATTATGAAGATTGAGAATTTTAGGGTACAGCATTGCAGAAATCTAGAAACCTGAGAATGTATTTGAAGATTTAACAAAAGATAGCACTATCAAATACACATCTATGCTTAAAAGAACATCAGACATAAAATCCCTATACCAAAAGAATCTGATTTATTCGAGACTCTAACCTCAAGAATTCTAATCTCAAAAGTTCATCAAACTTCCCCTTTCCAAATCATCCGATTCCCTATCATTGCCATACGATATACCCTGAGATTAAAAGGGAGGATCCAATGTATCAAACGACATTTATACTTAATGAGCGTCGGCTCATTATCTGTGTATCGACTTTTATTCCTCCGCAGGCTAGATTCGCGCGCAGAGACACGATTCGATTAAAGCTCGGACAAACGAGGCGCATCTCGGCGCCATTGATCGTAACGAAATCGTAGCCCGATTACTCTTGTTCCGCGATCGATAGATTAACGTTAACGATTGCCGATTACGCTCGCTTCCTGGATGTACTAATTG